CTGCGCCAGCCTAATAGATGAAGAAGGGGTGCAAGGCTGGTCAACAGATAGAATCTGTTTACCCCTTAAGTCTTTGCCTAGGAGGCCTTCTACAAGACAGCAGCCGCATGCATGTAACATCTGCCCAAGATGAGTATTTTTATCGAGACACCATCTCTAGCCTTTACTCAACCAAGAGCCCCAAGGCAGGGGGTGTTTTATGTCGGAGTTTGCATCTTCTAGCCTTTGCCTAAAAAGGCATATCCTACAAGGCAGCAGGACATGAAGCAGATTGTACTGGGTTACATGTTACCAGTAGCAGGATAAACCTGACCTGACATGAATTGATTGACAAAATGGATTTAACATCCATACATAGGATTTATATTATCTTCTGGTTCTAAAAGCTAGCTCAGATATTTTCCAGAAATAAAAGCATTCTCTTGCAGAAATAGCAATTATGTATTTAACTCTATCTGTATGTTTTAGTCATATTAATAGAAACCAGCTCGAAAACTTCTGTCCCCGAAACACATCCAGCCAACCCAGCCATACTACAAATTACCTATGATAGATTTAGCATCCATACATAGGATTTATACTATCTTTTTATAAGCTAACTCAGATATGTTCCAGAAACAAACACGTTCTGCCGCGGAAACAGCAACTGTTTAGATAACTGCATCTATTTTAGCCATAGTTGTAAATAATAGTGATAATTGTACTAATTAACAAATAGTGATAGAAATTGCATAAGTGATACACTATGATGATATTAAAAGCATCATGCAATTTAGATAAGAAAAGATAATTATGTAAATATAAAATATAAAGAAATAAAAAAGTGATAAGCCAAAAAATAAAAAATTTTCAATATCAACTGTGATTGCATTAGTTTTTATTCCTGCTCTGTTTTCTTTTTCTTCTTTATAGCATTATCCAATTTAATCATATATTTTTGATGAGCTAATCAAAGACTTTCCCCAATGGTGCTGTGATTTAAACTGTGTTTAATTTTTTCAAACAAAAATTTTTTAATCAGCTTTATCTCATTGGCAATTAGATGGTCCTCTACAATTCTTCAGGAGAAAATACTTGAAGGAGCTTGTTTTAACAAAAGAGTTGTTTATGCTAAAATCATGTTGAACAGCAGCCCGGCCATGACTAAGTATTGAAATTAATTTAATGACAAAAGAAAATTCAATGTAATTTCTGACATAAGCAGGTTAAAAAAAAATCATCAAAAAAAGATTCTTGATTTATGGCTTTAACTTCATTATCCATATAATATAAGATAACACGAAGTCACACCCTGTGTTAATAAAATCTTTAAACTCATCGAGTACCTAAATAACATTTCCAAATTATCAACCAATTTTAATTTTGTCAACTCAATCAAGAGATTAGAGTCAAAGATATGAGATGATTATTCAATGAATAATTAAATGGAGATTTGTCACAAAGTTTTTTCGAACATTTGTGCGGATTCTATTTACATTCCACAATCTGATTCAAATATTCTGTTTTTACGTTTAGGGGCCATCTATAAAGTACTGAAGTTTAATGAATATTTGCTATTCAACTTAACTTTGAAAGGCGAAGTCTTTTTTATTTTCATTTATTTTTAGCAAAAATAAATTTCAGTTATTCTAGAATAAATGATGCTCAAAACATATATCTTCCAGTTTTTCCAGCATGTTTTTTAGAAATAGCCCATTTTCCAGCAAGGACACCCTAATAACTTTGTAATAAAAAAGTATCCTACAATACTTTTTATGTTATAAGAAAAATATTTCTGCATTTTTTATATTTATTTTTTCCTGTTATTAGTGATCTTGGTTTTATGTTTAAGTATCCTAAATCTCAGCTTTTAATGTTATATAAAAATATATATATTTTTTCAGGTTTAGTTTTTCATGTTATTAGTGTCAAAAAATATATTTGTGCTACCTTCCTAGCTTTTTTTTAACTATTTGAACCCAAAATGAAATAATGCTCAAGGCCTTGTAAATATTAATTTGGTGCTGGATATTCTAATACCTAGATTTTTATTCAAAACCTGCGACTAAGAATGTAGAGTAAAATAAAAATGTAAAAAGTTTACATATAGTAGATTTTTTTTCAAAAAAAGCTCTATTTACAACAAAGGTACTGTCATACTTGGACCCAAATTTGATACATGTTTGATGTTTGTGGTTCTCTCTTATATTTATGTCGTTGTAAAAAAAACTTGTTGCTATTTCATGGACTTATGAATTAGTAATGATGATTATAGAGAAAAAAATATTTGGGTGGACTTCGCTCCCCTCTTTTTTGGGGGGTTAAGGTTGGTAGACCCACACCAGAGACTACTTGAACCCATAGTGTAAAATAATGTATGTATTTTCAGTTTTTATTGAATGTCACAAAAATACTATATACAGAGAAAAACAATTTAAATGAATTAATATTGCAAATAATGTTAAAGTAAAATAAGATCTGGTATACTTTTGTCGAGCATACTTGGTACTAGTGCAATAATTGTCCAACTCTGTTCTTTTAAAAAGACACTTGCTGTTAAGAAAACAATTTAAATGAATTAATAATACAAATAATGTTTAAGTATAATAAGGTCTGGGATACTGTTGTTGTAGTATACTTAGTAATAGGAGAACTAGCATTTTAATTGTCAAGCTCTGCAATTTTAAAAAGACCTCTGTTGTTAAATGGTACAGGGACATTGATATTCTTTTTTATTTCATCAATATTGTAGAAAAGAATGTCTTTTTTTGGCAACTTCTTGTGATTATTTTATGGCTCCATCATAGAAACTATGGCACCAATAGGTTCTTCCATACTAACACTTATAATGCAACCAGGATATAACTTTTTATTATATTTTATTAGCACATTCTCATCAACATTGAGTTTTACCTTGTCCGTGTTATCCAGATCTGAGCTTTCGCTTATGTTGTGATTGGCAGATAAATTCTCATTGCTACTATTTGTTCTGGTGCTTTTAATAGCATTGTCTGCAACTAAGTTGGCTAGTTCATTTTTATTATCTAAACTGTCATCATGTTGTTCTGTAGGCAGATTTTAAGCATTCTTTTATTTCTACCTCTTTGAGTAGCACTGGTAGTTCCTTTAGTTGTTCTGGGCACATCTGTTTTAATGACATCTTCTGACCCTATACTTTTTTCTGCTGGAACATTCAACTTTTTTCTCACACGCTTCGTAGTTGGAATATCAACACTTCTTGATCTTCTCAAAAAGTCAAGAAATGATTGATTGACATTCTTATTCAATCTACTTTGGAAAACAATCATTTATGGAAAAAATTTTAACACTACTTGTTGATTGCGAGGATATATCCCTGTCTTTCTAAAACCAGATATTTTATTTTATGCAGAATTTGTTTGAATTGATTTATAAAGTGGACTTAATAAAGAATGGAAAGTGTCTTATTGACCACATACAATGATTGGGTAAGATGTGTTGAATTCAGTGGTAACCCAATAAAGCAAACATTGTTGTCTTCACAAAGCTTTAAAATATTGACATTAATGTGACTACTGAGATTATCGCTTATGATAACTTTTCAACCATATTGCCTTTTTAGCTTTGGTAATAGCAAACTAACAAACAAATTGTCAAATGAGTTATTCTCAAACCACCCACTTTTGGAGCGATTATACCTTGTGCCAGGTGGGCCAACTTCTGTCCATGCGGTCCAAAGTAACTTGACCTTATAAACCACATAAGGAGCCAGCAATTCTCTAGCTGCATTACCACAGTATAAAAGTGAAATGGATGATTTGGAACATTGATAATTCTTTTAGGGCATTTTTCTCTTTTTTTTAGGATACTTTTTTTTTCCCAGGGTCATCTGTTAAATTGGTCTTGTCAGAATTCCAAATGTTTTCGGCTGGTACATTTTCATCTTCATTATCTAGATTATCAATGTATTCTGTGACTATTTTTGTGTTATTGCAGCCCTGACACTTTTTTGAGTTTTCCGGCAACTCTCTCGGATAGCTGATGATGTCTTCTAATAAAGGCTATTATCCATTCAACACTTGGGAGATTTTCATTGAAACATTCATCATCACTCCCTAATCAATCTAGATAGGATTTCACAATAACTCAAAGATCAAATGAGGTCAATGGGTAACCAAAAGTTGAAACTTAATTCAAGTGATCACAAAATGACTGTTCTTTAGGCATAAAGACAGCTGGATGTCCTGCATGTTTCTTTATGATAGTAAGGCATCATCTTTAAAGAGCTCTCTTAATGCTGCAACGGCTGATGCTAAATTGTTCCTCAGCAAATCGTTGACTCATAGCTCCACATTCAAGCTTGCTCTAAGTTTTGATTAGTATAGTCTTTGTAAGCACTAGATCCCAATTTTCTTTTGTATCTGCAAACCATTCTGGTAGAACCAGTTATGATAGCACGAAGTATATGCAAAATGGTGTATAACAATAGCTTTTTTTTTGGTTCAAGTTTAAATTTTAAACCAATTTTAAACTTCAAACATTATTACAATTTTTTTAACAAAATAATAAAAATAAAAGCGACAATTTTAACTGCTACATTTTGTAGCAACTGATACTTCTTTTAAAAATATTGGTTATGTCTGAACAGACAAAAGTTTTACACCAAATTTTTACCATTATTGTAGTTTCCTTTAAAAAAATAATTTTTTGATCACTTCTTGCAAAAAAATTTACCCTTTTTTTTAAATTTTACTTGATTTGAGTAAGTGTATAATTAACTTATTTACTTTCATACCAAAGAATTCTATAAAAAATAAACAAATAAATAAACATTTTATTTTTTTGGATTCAAGTAACTTTGGGTTTTAACTTATCTCAAGTAGCCCATGAGGGTATAAATTCTTATACAGTGATGTAAAAACTTTATGGGACAGTTTTCTGACTATATTAAAACTCAAATTAAAATTTATAAAATCTTAATAGGTAATCTTATAGCTAAGTTTAAATAAATTTACATATAAGTATAAAGAAAATATTATTAC